TGGGGGGGTATATTTGTTTATGTGTATATGTATATATATGTATGTATATATGTGTGTATATGGTTATGTATAACTATGTATATGTGCGTGTACATGTGTATTTCTATATGTGTGTATATGTATGTGTGTATATATATTTATGTATATAGATGTGTGTATATGTTTCTATGTATGTATAGTTATATTTGTGCAGATGCGTGATAATATTATTAAACTTTTTGCGTTGTGCGTTATTATGTATGTGTATATATAAATGTATACATGTATATATGCAAATATATACATATGTTCTTAGGTGTAGATATGTGAATTTGTGTACATATTTATGTATGTATGTATGTATGTATATACGTACATATTTAAGATGTATATGTGATTATTTTATGTATTGGTCATTATATAATTGTATGTTTTGCTTGATATTATTATATGTATGTAAATATATGTATAAAATAGGTATATGTATGAATATGCGTGTATATATTTAGGTTTTTCATTTACCTTTCTGAATTTCCCATCAAAATAAGGTTACTAAACAAATTTACCAAGCAACATTATTATTTTTAAATTTTTATTATTTTTATTTTATTCTTTGGATTTTACTTTTTACTTTTTATCTAATTATTATCATTCTTTTTATAATTATTACGATTAATAATATTATTTTTAGCAGCAATAATAAGTAATCTGATTATTAATATTAAATATCTAATATTTAATTAATATATAAAATCTTTTTATTTACCATTTATAAGCTTTATTTTTGATTTTTAAATTCTAAATTTCAAATAAAAACTTATTTTAACCTTTATTATTGTTCTTATTAATAATATTATTAATTTTTGTATTTTTCATTTTAAAATCTTGAATTTTTTTAATAATCTTTAACATATTATCCTATATTAATTACAATTGTATTAATCATAATTAATAATATTATTACTATATCTTATTTTATTTTTATTCTTTGCTGGTAATCTTTAATATTTTATGTAGTAACTATAAATTATATTGATGTGTTTTTCAAGTGTCACCGTGATAAAAAAAAAAAAGAAGAAAAGTTTGTGTGGGAGATATTACAGAGACTCATTAAAACTTGTATGAAATTTTCCCATCTATTCAAATAGTACTGCGAAATTTTCCGTCACAAAAAAAGCATTATTTTTCAAATACCGTATTGTAATATAATAACAACTCAAAGTACAAGCTTGTGGTTTATTTGACTAATTCGGCTTCTGCGTTGAAAAACCTTTATTTTATTGTGATAAATGGTTACAAGCGAGAGAGCAAGATGGGATGTGCTTATTTTATTACAGCACGTACATACTTGTGTATAAGTCTACTTCATGTACAGTGCGACCCCTGAATGTGTTTATGAAAAACCTGATTTTTTTTTTTTTTTCCTATTAGTCAGTTATACGCCATGCGTAATACACGCTTAGGCGATCATGTATCGAAAGATACATGACTGACGAGGCAGATTTTTTTCCCCGCAGTCGGTTGCCATTTCTTTCTGCGGTAGACCAGTTTCCACCCAAGGCTATAGAACCCGGTCTGCCCTGCTATTTACCAATACCTGGGGAGAGAAGAGGATCCATACCTTTCTCAAGGTTATTATCACTTGAGTGAATGTAATGGATTCGACTGGAATTCGAACTCGGCTCTCCGATTCCTCAATTCGAGCCGCTATCCATTACGCTACCATTTTTCCATATAGTTCGTGTATAATGCAACCCCAGCTTCTGATTAATACTAGTAGGTGTACCGTAGTCAAATATTGCAGTACTGGGCATCATCCTGGACCTATTTTATAGCAAGTAAAAAGTATTCATATTGCTTTTTCTACAAAGCTATCCAAAAAATAGTGAGAAAACCACTTATCTTAAAATATCTGATAAAAAGATTTAGATACCGTATTTTTGTTTTCGAAAATGTACGATTTTTAACCTCTTCAAAAAGAAAAAAATTACCCGTGTATCGTGCAATCCCTTATTTTTTGCTTAAAAACTGAGCATAAAAACTCTCACTATACTCGAGTATATACGGTATATTTTAAATCCTTTACATACAGAATAATACCTTTATCTTTGTTATTATTAAAAAGTTTCGACCCTTGTATCTTCCTTCTTCAGGTGTGTCGATTCGCGTAGTTTCCAGAAAATTTAAAACTGCACTTTTAATTTAAGTCGACGGTGATAGATCTTTCTCGCCCCACTGTCCAAGTCTAGGTTCATTTTAGTACTCTTCAGTTATTGCTGGTCCTAGGTATCTGTACAAGGATCGAACTCACATTGACTTTGCTACCAAATTCACGAATCGTTAATCTCCTAAGTTATTGTCCTTAACCTGCAACTTCTATTGTAAATCTTTATATTTAAGCCGAACCTGAAGAACATCTATTGACGTAAAAACTAATGCGCCTCATATGAACTGTGAATTAAATTCCTTAGTTATATATTTGCTTCTCCCCTTTCAGCAATGTTTGCCAAAAGTAAACCGGTTTATTGTTAGCGGTGGTATGTATAGATTCATATGTACTTTTGCTGATTGTCAATATACGATAGATGAGCAGTTAACTAGGACAGCTTAGCAATAAGTTTCAGTGAAATAAAGTGCAATGATAATTTCTAAAAAACTTTATCTCTAAAAGGTTTTGCTGAATTATTATCTTCAATAATACAGCGATTTCTTTTTCACTTGTCGAGTTCCAAAATCTATTAGTGTTGTAGCTTAATGGAGCCTGCACCACTTCATGTTGGCTTTAAATTTAATTTTCTTTCTCCCAGATTAGTTGCCACTTGAAGGCAAGAGAGTCCGATTAGTCCTATTTAACTGATCGTTAACCGAACGAGGGTGGAGGCTTGATGAATTTATACCTTTCCCAAAAAGTATTTCTGCGAAAGCAAATGTAACGAACTTTACCAGAATTCGAACTCGGATTGATGATTTTACTTTCCGATTCTCAAGTTGTTGTATAGTCCTCTTTGCAATTTACGCAAGAGTAAATGATCAGAATAAGCGCCCTCGTTCCTCTGCGCCCAAAGTCAACAGGTTCAGACAAAATATTGTCAGACTAATCACCGATCGAACCGTGAACTATCAACAGTCACGATGAATGAATGCTCCCTCAGGGAGGTCCCGTGGTTTTAGCGACAACTGTGCCTTAAACTCTATCCAGACCTTAGAGACTCGTACATGCGATCCATCGCTAAAGGTGCAGAAAAAAAATAGCCGGTTCCCTGTATCGCTCTTCGTGCTATCCTCTACCTTTACAAGAGTCAGATCAGACCTAAAATGGAGTCCTTCTGCCATATAAGGACAGGAGCCGCCCGGAGCTCACTTTCGAGTCTCGATAGAGCCCAAAAGCGTTTCCACGTCCTTTTGGGTGATAAATTATTTTCCTCCCTGAAACCCCTTTCTCGCAGACGAAACGTAGCCGGTCCCTCTCTTCTGCTACCATGAAAAGTGCTCAGACGAACTACATTCCTTAGTTCCACCAGTTCTAACCGCCCCGGCTAGGACCCGCCATGCTACTGATATTGTTGTGAACCACCCACATTCGCTTCGTATTCTATTTGCAAGAAGAAAGTTCTACTCAAGCAGCTTCTTCCCGCGAATCACGACTTTGTGAAACCGACTCTAAAGAGAATGTTTTCCCGATCACTACAATCTTAACCTGTTCAAATCTGGGCTTCACCCTTACGTTCCCCACATATACGCATAAACTGTGCCTATTACTCTAATCCTCTACCTCGAGTGGCTCCCGGGCCTTGTACAGGTGAAACTCACTGTAGAAATTGAATAAACAAACTAACGAAGCTGCTACAGAAAATATGAGGGAAAATTAATTAAAAAAAATTCGACAAGCGAAAGGTAAAGGTTGCTTATTTGCGAATCAATTCCTCGCGAAGGTCACCTGATCGGATAGTTCAGATCACTGCTTAGCCTTTGATAATACACGCAAATGTTGTCATTGCTTTTAGGAAGATCATGTAACGCCAAATGTTTCATATTATGTGACATGAAATTCAAAACCAAATGTAATCAAGCAATCTACCTATGTAAGTTGAAATACGTGAAAGCCAATTAGATATTTAAGTATTTATTTCCTTGTTAACGTTTCGCTCTCAACAAGCATTATCAAAACAATCTAAAACAAAAATTTCGTTACTATATTAATACTGCTTAAAAACTGTGTGCTTAATTTGAAAAAGATAATACAATTCCAAAATATCCGTTATGAAACTGAGTTTTCTACAGAGGAGATATATTAAAAGAAAAATGTAAATTTGGTGATTTGATATAGGAAAATAAAAATAAAAGTTATGATGAAAAAATAAATCGAACATAGCCAAATTTCTTTTATAAGCTGTATCCCTTCAGGAGGTGGGCGATTATGGTTATTTCCTATTTTTGTAGCTTTAATCAATATTTGTCACCTTGCTACCACAAGTACCTGTTCTGTCAAATATTTACACAAGCTCGTTAGATAGGTTACTTACCGTTCGCTTGTGTCCCGCTTACCTTCTATATCCCGTGAGTGTCAAATTCTCCACACCCTCTTTCTTCATTATGTGTTCCAGAAATTTCAACCGTCTTTGTTTTTAGATATAAACTTGCTTCTTGCTACATGCTCCGTCTATGGTATTCTCAGCATCCTTCTGTAGAAACACATCTGCTACCTGAAGACTCCTCTTCACCTGTGAAGGGATTACTTAACAGTTAACGCCTATAAGAGGACTGGCATTACTTTGTTCAGCTCTTTCTTTCGAACGAAAGTGGATGTTTATGATGAAAACTAGAACAGTGTTTGAGAAACAAGACAACGTAACTATTGAAAATATCAGCTTTATTTTATAGTATAACTTTCAGTAAAACGCAGACATGTTAAAATTATGCATCTTTTTTTTATTATTATTATTTAAAATCATTTCAGTTTCTTCCTTCTCTGCCATCTTGTTAAATGTCCTTTATCATTCACTTTTAAATGGCTAATTCTTTTAACCAATAATTGGCTCTTTGGTTGGTTTATGAAAATCATAATGAGGCCAAGTTTGTATCAACTTATAAAAACTGTTTCCCGGACAAGCAGTGTCTCGCACATCCCTATGTCCATATAATCGGTAATTTTCAGTGATTATGTTGTTTTCAATAGCGCATGAAATGAGATCCTTGACGGCTTTTAACGCCTTTTCGTTTGGCTCTCGTGACGTGAAATCACCCATTACAGATATTGCTACGGCATCTCGGTTGAATCCTTTTGTATGGGCCCCTTCTCGATTCCAGCCACGACCTTCGTAGACACGCCCGTCTTCGCCTACCAGATAATTGTAACCGATATCATACCATCCTGAAAAAGAAAAGAAAAAAACAAAACGCCGGTTATTAATTTCCGTGTTAGTATAACAGAAAGGCAGTAAGTGCCAGTTGTAACGGCATTCAGACTCCGCCCTACGTAAATAAATAAATAAATAAATAAATAAATAAAACAGGAAAGAACACAAGAAAATCCTTAACCCAGAAAGCAAATCCGAAAAAAAATTCCTCAGCTAAAGCAGAAATATAACCGTTTTATTTGCAATGCAAGGTAATATTTATTTAACAAAAATAACAACAGGAAAATTCCAGAGTTTCTTTTCCTATACATAAATGGAATTCACAACGAAATTTGTTAATGAATGTATTTGAGTATGACATGAGACAGAGAAAAAGTATTCAGTGGTGTAAAAAGTTGATGGTACACACTTCACAAAGAGGCAAAACGTGAGTGAGACAGACAGACAGAGAGAGAAAAGTATTCACAGCCCTTTTTGGCTTCGGTGTAAAAAGTTGATGGTACACACTTCACAAAGAGGCAAAACGGGAAGACATAGCTACTTAAGTGTTCTGTTTTCATACCCTCAGGACTATGACGTGTGTGTGTGGGAGAGAAAGAGAGAGAAAAAGAAAAGAAAGAGAGAGAGCGTCCACAGCCCTTTTTTGCTTCGGTGTAAAGAAAGAGAAAACGGAGAGCGTCCACAGCCCTTTTTTGCTTCGGTGTAAAAAGGTGATGATACACACTTCACAAAGATCACGGGAAGACATAGTTACTTAAGTGTTCGCCTGTTTTCATACCCTCAGGACTACTACTGGTGATATGTTCATTAAGGTACTACAAAAACCTGCTATCAGCCGTGATCAAATTTGGACTCCTACCGTAGAGTAATAGTTAGCAAGCCAACTATTACTACTAAAGTGACTGCCTCAACACAAACGAGACCGGTTCATGACAGCGAATGTCATTTGTCCGAAAACTGGCTTAAATTAAAACGTTAAACTGAGTTTTCATTTCACCGAAAAAAACAAACATCGAAAATTAAAGGGAGATAACTTTTATATATTTATGATGTTTTTCTTAAAAATTACAGCCGTTAATTTGATTGTTGCTTGTTTGGGAAAATTAAAGATTGGCAACAAGTCATTTGCTTTGTTTAAGGGATTATTTACAGTTGAAAACAGTTAAAAAAAACCAGGAAATTGATTGTCATTTTTCGGGAAATAAAAATAAAATAAAAAATATTTAAATAAACAAATAAAAAGAGTAATGGAATTTATACAGAAAACGTTTTTTAAAGATTTAATTTATTTAGGCATGTATTTTGGATATGATAATTTTTTTTACTCGTTTTTGAATATACTTAGAATAAAACTAATACATTACGCAACATTATTACGTGAATGAAGATTTCACTGATAAATTTATCGATGAAATGTCGATGGTATACAAGATCGGTGACGATGGCATATAACTAGTTTGGTTTTCGAGGCAGTGAATGTAACCAACAGTTAGAGCTAACACGGATGAGAGATCAGCTGCCAATCTCTGACCATCATAAGTTTTGGAGGTATCAGTCAGTTATGTGTCATGCGTGATGCACGCTTAGACGATCACGTATCTTTCGATACATGACTGACGAGACGGATTTTTTTTCTCGCAATTGGCTGCCATTTCTTTGTGCGGTAGACCAGATGCCATCCAAGGCTATAGAACCCAGTCTGTCCTTCTATTTACTCATATCTTAGAAGAAGAGGATTCATATCTTTCCCAAGGGGATTAGCACGTAAGTGAATTTCACTCAGTTATGTGCCATGCGTGATACACGCTTAGGTGATCTTTCGATACATGACTGACGAGGCAGATTTTTTTCCCGTATGTAGTTTGCCATTTCTTTCTACGGTTGACCAGTTGCTGTTAGAGGAGTGGCGCGTAATTCGAACTCGGCTCTCCGATTCCACAATCCGTGCCGCTATCCATTACCACGAGTATATTCTTAGGCAGATCATTTATATAAAGTAAAAAGAGGTAAAGACACCTGGGAGACGCATGCGTTAATTGCTAGGCCCTGGAGGACTAGCTGTTAACAACTATCTTCAGGGACCTATCCGTTAGAAAGGACTTTATTATTGAGAAGAATTAATACAAAAGACTTTTTTCCAATATTCAATTTATTTACGCAGGTATTTTGGATAAGGCAAATATTTAAATGGTTTGGTTTTCGTCACTTTTACACGTTTTTAAATATTCCTAGAATAAAACCAAAATATTAAGCAACATGAGAATGAAGATTTCAGGAATACATTTATGGCGAAAACGGTATTCATTATTGTAAATAAACAATTAACAAATGTAATATGTTTGATGCATTAATTATATTACCAGTTTAACTAATGTCCTTTTAAAAAGGCTACAAATATATTCCTTTTTCTATTATCCATTGACACTTGAATATAACTCTTTGTACTTTCCTGGGTTTTTCTTTTCTTTGTTTTTTCGATCACCTTTATTGGGGGAAAAAAAAGAAACGAGAGGTAAGAAGAAAAAAATCTAGTCATTTTAATACTTAAACATTTCATGTTTCCTTTAAGTTTATTATATTTGTCTCCCTTGAATTGTTTAACTTTGAATACCGTACATGACCTACTGTCCAATTCATTTTTTTTATAGTAAGTTTCACTCTATACAAGGCCCGGAGGCCACTCGAAGTAAAGGATTACGATAGGAGGCAATTTATGCGTATAGGAGTGTAAGATAACAGTTAATCCTTAGCCTCGAACATGTTAAGATTGTAGTGATCGGGGAAACGTCCTCTCAGGAGTCGGTTCCATAGAGTAGTTGTTCGCGGGAAGAAGCTGTTAGAGTGGAACTTACTCTTCACCAATGGAATACGGAGGGAATGTGGGTGGTTTGCTTCTATGTAAGTGGCATGGCGTGTTCTTGCCGTTAAGGTATGAACCGGCGGGACCAGGGAATATAGTTCGTCCGAACATTTTCTGTAGAAGAAGCGATAGAGTATCAAGAGGCTTGCCCCATTAAACCTGTGGGAAAGAGGCTGGAGAATAATTCGTCACCCACGGAGACGTTTTTGGACTCTATCAAAGCTGGATAATGAGGTCTGAGCAGCCCCCACCCAAATATGGCCACATTATTTTGGGCCTGATCATGCTCTTGTAAAGATAGATGGTAGCAGGAGGAGTCAGATACAGGGTGCCAACCGTTTTACCTTTAAGGTGTATTTGTTTAGGAAACTACTATACATTATATTAACAAGCAATTATAACAATAAACTTTAATGAGATTAATGCAAATATGAAAAGGGAAAGTTCTAAGTGCAGACAGCTTCAAAATTAAGAATTGAGATATTCATTTATTGATATTTCCGTGAATAAAGATTTACGTGATGATTCTATGGATAAAAAGTCGATGATATACACATATTCACAACGTTTCGGTCGTTGTACGCTCCGACCTTCTTCAGGTGATATACGTTGGAATTTCGAACCCAACTCTTTATTAATAAAGATGAGGACAATAGTCCGAACAATGTAAATACTGTAAATGTTTCTTTTTCTTTTTTTAATTCTCGTTTATAAGTACCAAATCTTTTAAATGATACATCATTAAAAAAAAAATAAATAAATAAAAAAAAAGCACTATTCAGAGTTAAAAGTTATCTCCCTTTAATTTTCTAACATTTGATTTTTCGACGAAGTGAAGATTCTATTTAATTCCTTCCGGGGACCAAACAAATGACATTCATTCTTATGGTTCCCTCCCCTGTGCAGATTTCGTTATCTTTGATTTCCTGCTTTTCTAAGAATAAAAATCTATGTTGAATTTGGGGGAGATCTCAAGCCTAGCTTAAATTAAGGTTAAGAATTGCAGCCACTGGCGATCCCGGGAAATAACTATTTATTTATTTTTAGTTTAATATTTTTATTTTAATCGTTTTTTATTTATATTTTATTTTCGTTACCTATCAGAAAGACAATTACCTAATTAACCGTTATCGTCCCCACCTATCTGCATAAAATGTGCTTTTTACTCTTTACCCTTCTACCTGAAGTGAAAACACTCACCCCGTAAAGGGTGAACCTCACTTTAAAAAAAAAAATTCATATTACTCTTTTTATTTATTTTGACATTTATATTTTAAACATTTGTTTATTATTTACATTTTATTTACGTTGCCCGACAGAAAGAAAATCAGTTTCTTGGATTTAACTGATTTCAACATTGAAATCATTCCTTTTTTAAACAAACCAATTAGCATTCATTATCGTAAATAAGCAACAATCAAATAAATGGGTGTAATTTTTAAGAAATGTATTTATTTTCAACGTTTCGATTTGTCGGTGAACGAAACTATTAGACGAAGTGAATATTCGATTATACGCTTTCGGTGAAGTTATCTTTCGGACAAATAACATTCACTCTTATGAACCGGACTCATGCGTAGTGTGTCCAGGGCGAAGTATACCTGACGGAGTTTATTTCTCTCCTGACCTAAAAATAGTTCATTTTTTATTATATTTTATTTTAATTTATTTTAATTTATTTATTTATTTTAATTTATTTTAATTAATTTATTTATTTTAATTTATTTGTCTGTTTATTTTAATTTATTTATTTATTCATTCATTTTATTATTATTATTATTATTATTATTATTATTATTATTATTCTGATTTTAGTTATTTCCATTCTATTTTCGACGTTTCGATTTTTCAGTGAATTGAACTATTTTTTTTTTTTATTTTTTTACTAATGTTTACCAAATACAAAGCCAAAGAGCTACTCAAGTTAGAAGGTTACTGAGGGAACTTACATTAGCGTAGGAAAGGACAAGTGTTTGGAGTATAGAATTGAAGTAGACTTTAGACGAAAAAGAAAAACCCAATTCTAGAAAAGGAAACCAGCGGTAAAAGACAGGGGAGGAGTGTGAACCGGGCGATAGGCGAACCTATCTATTCCTATTGATGGAGGAGAGAAAAAATAAAATAAATGGTGAATAAAGAAAAAAAAAGTTCAAGTACAGACGTTAGGAGTACAAACGTTAGGAGTACAGAGCTGAAGCAGACTTTAGAAAGAACAGGAGACCCAATCCTAAAGAGGAAACAAAGGGTAAACTTCTACTCCTGTTCAAAAGACCGAGGAGGATTCTAAACCTATCTACTCCTATTGTTCAACGAAGAGAAGATTTGATTTAGCGCTTTCGATGACGCCAGTTTTCGCACAAATTACATTCACTGTTATGATTGCCTCCCAACTCAAATAACTTTATAACGATTTAGTATGCGCAACTTAGATGTGGCACAAGGCTGCAAGTAAGGAGCACCTTGTGGAGATCGAAATCTCTACTAAGTCATAATTGATCTTGGGGAAACAAACATGTTAATCATTACACTATGTCGATGTGCCTATCTCAACAAGCTATATAATGCCTATTATTTGATAAACTTAACAAATGATACTTACCACGCGTAATCATGTGCAGGTCTTGAATCTTTCTCATTTCCTCACTGCAAGTTTGGATACTATAACAAGGGGACATCGCTGTGTGGTGGATGAAGACCATTTCAACCGGCAATGGGATAGAAACAACCTCTTTCGGTTGCTGCGCACCCCATTCATTTCGTTTCACCACCTTTAGACATTTACAGCCATAAGGACCAAGAAAAGCTGAAGAAAATGGAAAATTTTGATTAAATATTATGCCGGCAGATAAATGATTGGGTCGTGGCTGATAATAAAGTCACAGGAAAAAAGTAACAACTATGGTTAGGAAAATGTCACAATTAATTTAATAATAATAAAGACATTTATTTCTGTCGGGTACTTCACGAGTTTATAGGTCCGCTCTGTTTGCAACAGAAATTTATAATAAATCGAGCTAACCTCTAAAGAAACGTTATCTGACAATGTTACGGTCACATAGTCGATATATTTCATAGTTAGGGTGTCTCTGAGTATCACATAAGATCCGGCTTTATGTGTAGAAAGTATCAAATCGACATTAAAATTTGTATTAAAATACCTTGAATTTTCAATTTATTTATGTGGTTGGGACGTTGTCTGATTTTGGGATAAGAGGCTGGGATTTTGTGTGCTAACCTTGTCCTGCTTCTTTTTTCCTGTGACATTTTTTTTTACTGTGACATTTTTTACCATGTCTTTTTTACCGTGATTATTTTTATTTCTTTTACTTGGAAACGATTGGATCCTGTCGGAAGAAAATATTTTGTTAGTCATGAAAAAAAAAACACATTTTAATATTTAAACGATCCATAATAATAATAATAAAAGCTACCGAAATTGTTAAACAGTTCGGAAAGTAATTACGTATTTCACTGCTATAAATTTAGAATTTGTCTATATTTCTGAGATGAGGTATTTTGTACACTATTTACATTGTTCGGGCTATCATTCTCATCTTTGTTGCCATATTTATCACAACGTTTCGGCCGTTGTACGCCCCGGCCTTCTTCAGGTGGCTGGAATGTCGAACAACCCTTTATTTCGCTCATTGGGGTAGACTGTTCTAGTTCTACGTGCCATGTCTAATGGATGTCAGTTATCAGTTATCTCCTGTTAATTCCCCTCTCCAAGTTCTCCACCACCTTAACCAGGTATTGAACTCACACTTTTTGTGATGTATAATTTTCCTTTTTGCTTTCCATTTTCTCGATCCATCATAGCGTCAGCATCCTTCTGTAGAACCACATTTCTGTTGTTTCAACTCATTTCATCTTTGATGAGATTGTCCAGCATTCACTGCCATATAGCAGGACAGACAACATGTAACAGTTCAGCAATGTTTTCTTTGTTTCTAACGAAGTTTTTTTTCTGTGTCTTATCTTCTCTGCTTATCTTTTAAGTGCATCTTTGGCTATCCAAGTGTGTCTTCAGATCTCAGTGTCGCACTTTCAGTTCTCTGTTAGAACACTTCTAAGATATTTAAATTTTTATATTTGTTTTCTTTTTTGGGGGGATATCTCCTATTTGTAATTTGCATGTTGGGCTCACCATTTTGCTAACAACCATGCATTCTATCTTCTTGTAGTTTATGCTTAGTCCTTTCTTCTCGCTTTCCTTCACTACCTTCTGTAGGAGTTTTGTAGTTTTCATTCCGTGTCTGCTATTAACAGTGGGTCATATGCATATCTTGTTAAGATCGTAGCGTCCAATTATGAATCCTGGTAGGACTTTTAATTCTATCAAAATCGCCTGGTTGTATAGGATGAATAAGTCCGGTGAGAAGACATATCCTTGTTTTACACCCGTTTCTATTTTTGCTTTCCTTAAAATCGTTATCGTACACTGGTCGACAGATTTTTTTAAAAAATGCATTCTTTGTTATTGTTATATAAGGTTATATATATCTTAAAATGACACTAATATGTACTGTTCTATTTTCTGCATGAGTAATCTAGAATTTCTATTAATACATTATCTCTATTGTTAAATGTCAAATAGAACGTTGCTGAAATCATTAAATAAAAGTAAAACTATCACAAGAAAATTGATCTCCTTATTTAATAATTGTTATTAACACAAAACATACTCGCTTAGCGGCTTCGAGTAGTGCCTTCTGTTGCCATACCGGAAGCAAACAGAAAGCATTCTAGCTAACATGAAATGGATATATTGAATTCATTGCTTGGTCAGCTGCTAAAAAAGTTGGTTCACTGTGTCGTGAGAGACAATTTTTCTCCCCAGAATTTATCATCTTACTTATTATAAAACGCAGATTTTGTGTGTTTGTGTGTGTGTGTGTGTGTGTGTGTGTGTGTGTGTGTGTGTGTGTGTGTGTGTGTATGTTTATATATTGGATCGAATTTCCTACATTTTTCAACCGATTTCAACAAAACTTCACAGGACTGCGTAAAATTACCTTGCGGTGGTTCTGACAGCGCCAAAAATTGGAAAAACACAATTGTTTTTGCACGAAATCAATTTGAAAACACGATAAAACACGATTCTGTCGCCAGAATGAAAGGGGGACAACTCATATCGAGTCAAACATTATAAAACCCAAGTGTGTGTGTGTGTGTGTGTGTGTGTTCCTTTATATATGGGATCGGATTTCCTACATTTTTCAACCCATTTCAACAAAACTTCACTTTTTTGGCAGATAGTGTTTCTAATTGTCTTGCACACTTTTTTCTTTATTTTTACATTCAGAATGCTTTAAAAATTCCATTTACAAGACAATTGTTTATAATAAAATTCTGTTCAATCGATAGACTCATAACGATTGAAAACAATGTTTTTGTTTCAGTTTGGGTTTGACCAATTCGTAAAAAAAAACAGAAAAACAAAAAAAAACTAATTAAGAAATGCGTGCCCGTCAACCTTAAACAATAATCTTTGTCAATTTTATTTTTCAGTCTTTATGATGGTCGATACTTGATCTATCTCTTACTGTTACATCCCCGGGCAACGCCGGGCTCTACTGATAGTGTATACATATAAGTCTACCATTCGTCCATACTTAGAATATTACTGCCACATGAGGTGCGGTGCCCTTGCTATTTATTTTGAGCTCCTTAATAAAATCCAAAGAAGAATCAGCAATATTATCGGTCCTGATCTAGCGACTCGGCTTCAATCACTTTCTCACCGTCTTACGGTTGCCTCTCTGTGTCTTTTTTATAAAAGCTTTCATGGTAATTGTTCTGGTGAACTCTTCCCTAAGGTACCTAGATTTTTTGAATTTAAATGCAATACTAGACTGGCGTCGAGATCTCATCATTTTACAGTTGAGTTGGCTAAATGTAGCCGTAAGTTCTATGCTAACAGTTTCTTCTCTTGCACTTTTCGCTTGCGGAACTCCCTTCCAGCTCCATGCTTTCCAGCCAACTTTAATCTCCAAAAATTAAATGCAACATCAATCGCTATCTGCAGTCCTCCTGATTACTCTTTTCTCTTCGCACTCATTAATAAGGTTTTTGATCCTAATTCTTATCTGTCCAGTAACCCCCTTGTGTCTTAGTGGCTTTACTACCTTGCTTAGGGTGAAATCAATTTAAAAACTTCTTTAAAAAGCACTTCTAAGACCATTTAATATACACACAATGTGACTGAATTTGAAAAGAAGCATTAGAATAATACATTTCCACCAAGATCTGGACAACTCCTGCCCTGGGCCAGGCAATAGAATAATTTGAGTCAGAGAAAAAAAGTTAACTGATTCTAAGTTTTTACTGGACATTTTGTAAATTATTCAGTAATAAATAGAAGTGTTTTTTTTTTTACTAACAAAAAATGTAGAAATATTTTTAGGCAAGTCACTGAATTAAATTACAGACGCGCACACGCAAACGTACAGAGACAAACAATCTGAATTAAATTGGAATTGCAATCTATGGAGCGAGGGTTAATTTCACTGTTTGAAAAGAACCCCTGGAAAACGAATAAAATGAAACAAACAACCATTTGAGGTCATTTTAATGAATCCTTCTGCATAAAGATTGAATATATTCTCTTAATAAATGCAGTATTTTAAAATGGACAAAGAATTTAGTTTTGAACTTTGATCATCTTTCCGTCAGCGAAGTGACTGTTAAAAAACTAGTGTATTTTTTTTTAAACATATACAGGGTGCGATGGATAAATTGTCGTCTAAATGAGGCAAAAATGAAAACAAAACTGACATTTTATTTTAACAGATATATCTACCAAAATTACACAAAAATATCTTGAAATACTAAAGAGTGGATTTATCTAATAAAATCGACCCGAGACGACTTCGGAATCTCCTGCAACTCTTCTGGACAGTTTCCTTCTTTAAGTGGTGAATGATGCCATAATCCTTGCTTTCAGGTCATCTTTGGTGTTACATGAAGTTTTGTTGATCTCTCACTCAATTGCACCTCACACATAATAATCAAGGGGGTTGCAGTCTTGGAAGTTAGGTAGCCAGATGTAAGCGGTAGTGTCGCTGCAAAATTGTCTGACAGCCATGACTGGGTTCTCCTGTCTGTGTGGCATGGTGTAGAGTCCTGTTGCCAGACATAGGGTCTTCCAGTAGCCACCCTTTTGATCCAGGGCAGCACTACCTTCTCGAGACACTTGATGTAGGCCTCCATGTTTAGTCTGAGGTCCTCACCAACAAATTCGGGAGTTCTTTTCTTATCAAAACGATCAGTGTGAGTTTTCCGAGCTGCCATACCTTCGTAATCACCATTAGACTCATCCAACTCATTCCGAATCCTCTCCACTGTCCTCAGATTGACAGCCAAACGCTCTGAAATGTTCGTATTGGAGTTTACGGCGTGAATGTCAAGCAGTACAGCATGCCGTTTCCAAATTTCTGGTGAAGTGTATTACGTCATGGTGCTCTTTTTTCTCACGGTCGTTAAAAATCCAAAAACAAACAACGCGTATACACGAAATCTAAAACATATATAAAATGGCGACAATTTATCCATCGCGTCCTGTATACAAAATTTGGAATATTAATGAGTTTCCTGAAATTAAAATAAATGGAGCATTAAAAAAAAAAAAAAAAAAAAAAAAAACAAAAAACCACACACAAACATATATTGCGTACTACATTTAAGAAATGCAACAAACTGACATGTCCGTCTCGTGTCATTTCAACAGACACTGCTCGGTACAAAAAGAAAGGAATACATTTACGGATACCGGAGCATAGCAACTGGCTATATGCCTACGGGTACGTCTTTTCTTTTCTTTTTTAACTTTTTTTTTTTTTTACTTTATTTTTTTTCCTTTTTTAAATTTTTTTTTTTTTTTTTCATCTCATGTTACAGAGTGAAAAAGAAAAGTTAGCGTAAATAGTCAGCTGGGTAATTGCTACTGGCAATTTTATTTTATTTGTTGTTGTTTTTGTTTTAGTTTTTGTTTTTTTAGAGGCTCTACAGTAGGAAAAGAAATCGCATAAAAATTCCCTATGTATAATTGTCGTTAAAATCGGACTGAACGAATTGTTTAAAAATAGCAACGTGGAGATTCCCAGAGGTCACAGGAAGGAATGCTTTATTCATTAGGTGGACGGGGGCGAATAGGCAACGCATTTCGTGTAGCTGGGAAAACCCAAGTTTCAACAGTTATGCGACCAGACAAATAGCTTTACATTGCAAACTTGTCAACAAGTCTTCCATAAATCTTAAACCTGACTGATAATTGGAGTGAGGACTAAATTTTACAAAGACGTTTATATATATATATATATATATATATATATATATATATATATATATATATATATATATAAATGTATACGATTCTTGTTCAAATTACGAAAAAATAACAACAAATAAAAACGTTTTTTAGTAACATGATTCTCAATATTTGTTCTTTCGTTCACACGATGTTTGTACATACACAAAGACACACAAAAAAATAAATGTAGAAAGGTATCTTTTGTCTCGCCGTTTAAGTTAATTTACAAGTTGTTATTTAAAATAAATAAATAAATATATATATGTTGTTTGTACCAAATGAAACAGATGTCGTCTAGCAAATATCAATATACGGCATTTACTAAATAAAATTAATACTCCTTTTTGTGTAAGCAAAACTAATTTATTACAATGTAAACCGGATATAAGAGAGTTGTCGGGACCAGAGAAGAAGTCTCTTATATCCGGGTTTCTCTTATATCCGGGTTTGTTCTATTTTATATACATTAACACAGGCTCTAATTTGGGACCAGAGAAAATCTCTCTTATATCCGGGTTTCTCTTATATCCGGGTTACACTGTACATATCTAAGCGAATGAAACATTCCAAACATGAATTTTAAAAACTTCATATAAAATAAATATAGACCCAGAAGCAATTTCTACCCTAGAAACATAGGATCGGGTAATAAAGTAACCTCGTTTAAAATTTTGTTAAAAAAATATATGAATAGCAGTAAAAATGAAGTATTTAATTCTATTTAAATAAATCAACCAGATTAGTAACTAGTTTAATCTTCTGATTGAACAAATGTTGATACTAAATTTATTTTTCCTCCCTGCCACCTCAATAACACCCTATATTTCAACATGACACCGCGGCCCATTTTTTTTTTTTTTTTTTTTTTTGTACCTGGCCCGAGTTAAACCCACCCTTGTGTCACATCTCGCCTCAGTGAGGAGACCGGGATAAATAATATTCAATTGAACGTTATGAATTTCAATAACGGACTGGTCAGGGTATTAGCTTGTCCGATGGCAAGTGAGCCCCTGAGGGAGTGGGCCTCCCTATATCAAATAAAAATGCCATAAAGAAACAAACATAAACAGCTGTTTTAATAATAAAAAGAAATAATTACTTTATAAAGTCATCTGCGCATTATCAGTTACTTAAATCCAGTGTGAGAGGATATTTTCAAAGTTAACACATCATAAAGACAAGGTTAAGAAATTCGATATTCGAGAAGAATTTGGAATCATACATGTTGCTATCTATTGAAAAGAAAGTGTGAGATGAATTGACTGCAGAAGTAATTATTGGCAGATTCGAACCACCATAAATGGATAGCATGCATGGATGTATATGTTTAAAAGGTTTATTTATGAAAATTAAACGATAGCATTGTAAATGTGGGTGGGCAACTTTTGTCTCCTAGCAACCAATATTTTTAAACTTAGGCCCCTACTGATGACATTTCAATTGAACGCCTGCGAACATGTTTTGAATTTAATAAAAATTTAAGAACTAAGAATCTTAAACATGTTCTAAATCCGCGATGATCTGACAAAAAATTGAAAGAAATTAAATAAAATTTCCAGTTTTTGAAGTTTTAAATTCACAAACTTCGCAATTTTTTTTTTTTTTTTTTTACATTTTCTTTCGCCCTGATTGAAAAAAAAAATGAAAGACAAATAAAATTTCGAGTCTTTGAAGTTTTAAATCCACATACATCCCGCAAAGTTTGTTTTTGTTTTTTCCTTCGCCCTCAGTAACCCCTTGCGTCTTAGTGTCATTATCGCCTTACTTGAAGTGAAACGATTAACAAAAAAAAAAACCTTGTATTCAAATTCCAATTTCTTATACTTTTTACTTGGAAGAATGACTTAACAATTTTTACCAAGCCACCATTAGCTTGTTTTCTATTATTAGTCTTCCCATATACCCCATTGATGGAAGCTATTCGTTGCTTGTGTGTGTGTGTGTGTGTGTGTGTGTGTGTGTGTGTGTGTGTGTGTGTGTGTGTGTGTGTGTGTGTGTGTGTAAACACTGAAGTTTAACGTATGTTGAGTCAAGGAAAATACTTTATAACAAAAATTAACGACTGTTCTGGTTTGAGAACAGCGCAAACTTTGAGTGTTTTAGAGTATTAAAGTTAAAGAAAAGTCGGAAGAAACAAAAGAAGAGAGAAAGATTCAAAACAACATACCGGAGTTATTACAATTCATAACATTCTTTTTCAGTACAACACAAGTAGACAATTTCACAGCAGCCGGGCTTTAATCGTAATGATAGCCCGGGGTAAAATACAGGATAAAGTAAAAAAATACTTACGCATCATTTTGGGATTGGAAATTATTTATGTTATAAAAAGATACGGTATTTACCAGATATATTTATTCAGGCTAGTCGATAAAATTATTATTATACATAAATCTATCTAAAGATGTCTAATCCTTATTACTGACGACAGAAAAAACACACTAAAAACCAAAAAAGGTTAAAAGACGTAGAGATGAAAACATATTTGGGTGTCACTTCAGTGTGTGACACGAGAAAGTGAACTATGTTAATATTTATAATAAAATAAAAGAACGAATAGAAAAAGAAATTATTCTTTGATGAGGTGCAGCAAAAAAAAAAAAATTGAAAGTGGGATTGGTTTATATACCAAATTAGGCAACTCCACAGATTCGTGATACCTAAAGGTTTAAAATTTGAAAATGAAAAATCTTTCTTGATGCTTTCATTTTAGTTTTAACTAGCAGTAGAGCCCGGCGTTGCCCGGGGATGTAACAGTAAGAGATAGATCAAGTATCGACCATCATAAAGACTGAAAAATAAAATTGACAAAGATTATTGTTTAAGGTTGACGGACACGCATGTCTTAATTTTTTTTTTTTTTTTTTTTTTTTAAATTGGTCAAACCCAAATTCAAACAAAATATTGTTTACAATCGTTATGAGTCTATCGATTGGTGAATAGAATTTTATTATAAACAATTGTCTTGTAAATGGAATTTTAAAAGAATTCTGAATGTAAATAAAGAAAAAAAATGTGCAAGACAATAAGAAATACTACCTGCCGAAAAAAAAAAAAGTGGATGTTTGTTTTATCGGCTGAAAATGTAAGAAATCCGATCCCATATATAAAGGAACACACACACACACACACACACACACATACACATAAACAACCTGGGTTTTTTAACCTAAGTCACTCCACGGAATCGCTAAAACATAGAGCATAGTCTGATGAAAAAAACGCCAAAGTTTATGAAAACAAAATTTTATCGTCAAAATGCTTATGTTTTTATGAAGAGGATAGACTAAATTTTTTTTAATTATTTTTTTAAAATTTTTCCATCTTTTTAGAATATTCTAAATTTTGATTTAAAAACCTTGTTTCTCTTTGTCGCAACAAGGGGTAGTAAATAACATAGATAATTTTTTAGCGCGTTTTTTGTATTTACACACATTAATTTGGAAAATCTTGCAAAAATAAAAATAATTGTCAGATGTTAATAAAACTTTCAGAAACTATTCACAGATGATCGAAATTATTATAAATATGTTGTTTTTTTTTTATTAAAGTCATGGCAGAAATATATTTTTTTATTTATTAACACCCCCATAACTAATTTTATGAAAAACTCTAGAAATTCGAGACCATCGGTTTTAGTGATTACAAAAAAGCACAAGGCTTTGAAGAATGCAAATCATGTTTTTGTTTTTTTTTGTTTTTTTTGGCCAACGTGCTGTGAATTGTAACATACAAAACTCAATAAAACAAATATATTATTTAGTTTCAAATGCTTTTATTTGTTTTAATTTGTTTTTATGAATATGGACAATATTTTCTGAAAGCAAAAAATTTTTTCAATGAAAATTGAATTTTTAATACAATTATTTCTTATTTCTTTAATTTTAAAAAGATTTTTAAAAAATGTTTAAATTGAATTTTAAAAAATATTTTAACATTAGTTAAAAGCAACATCAACCTTTCAAAATGTCCGTGTGAGATTGTCATTGTCTAGCGCTTTGAAAATTGTATAATTTGGACCAATCAGATTAGCCATGGTAATTAAGAAATGTAATTTTTGTGTTTATAGTCGGACAGTAATTATCAAGTACGGAAGACCAACCAGAATACAATTTAGTTGCATCATTTGAGTTCAGCATTGTTCTCCGCTGTTAAGCCCTTTACTTTTGCGAAACACGTATGGAGAAGTTAATTTGAGTTTTCAATTTCAACTGAGAAGGGTACCTACAAGTAACTAACAGTATCATCTTATGAAATTTAACTACTGCTAAACTTTAATTTATATGATCTTATTTTTATATTAATCTCAGTTATGACATTTTTCCATAAATGAAATATCAAAATTAATAAAATGAATGGAAATACAAATAACACAGTAAAATGTAATAAATGTACATAAAAGTATAGTATTTTATGTACACTTCTGATAAAATTTCATGAGAAAGGTACCTAAATTAATTAGATACCTTTTTCTTATGAAATTTAATCTCACTATTAACAGTCTTATTTTTTAATTTCTTTATATTTTCCATAAAGCATCGTAAACGTAAAAATGAAAGCTAAGTACAAAAAAATAAAAAATAAAAAATAAATAAAAAATAAAAAATTAGAGCGCTGAAAGTTTTCCTTAAAAGTAACAAGGTAAATAATTTGTTCACTTAAATAATTTCACTTCCTTCCATCCGTAGAAAGAATTCTCCTCCCGTAAGTTATCTAAACGTCATGAATGTGCCTTTCGTCAATCGTCAAGCGACGCGAAAGGTTATGACATGCTTTGTTTTATTTTCAAATTACATTTTTTCGGCGCAGAAGCTAAGTTAAGCTTGGTTCAAAATATTTTAAATAAACAGTATAATTTCTGTTTTTATTAAAATCAGATTTGAAAAAATGATAATTGATTTTTAAAAGAATATCAAAGTAAGATTTTAATCTGTTTTATCAAATCGAAAAAAATGATTGAAAATGATTATCTGTCCTTTTTTTTTGACCAAAAAAAAACAATATTTTTAACGAAAATTTCAGACGTGCTAGGAACGATTAAAAAATGTAAAAAAATACCCCCAAAATGCTTTGATCTTTCCTCTTTAATAATAATATGAACATTAGACGATAAAATTTTGTTTTCGTCAAGTTCGGCGACTTTTTCATCATGCTATGCTCTTTTGTTTACATTTTCGTGAGTGAGTTGTCCCCCTTTCATTCTCATGATGTGTCTTAATCGCGTTTTCAAATTGATTTTATTAAAAAAACAACTGTCTTTTTCCCATTTTCGGCCCCGTTAGAACCACCACAAGGTAATTTTATGTAGTCCTGTGAAGTTTTGTTGAAATCGGCTAAAAAATGTAGGAAATTCGATCCAACATATAAACGTTACAGACACACACACACACACACACACACACACACACACACACACACAACCTGCGTTTTATAATAAGTAAGATTTCAAGCTAATAGATTAAGTTTAATATTTACAGTAAATAAAATATATTGCTGTATTTCAAAATTAATGTAAATCGACTGGAAGGAGTTTTCGATTTGAATTCACTAACCATCGCAGATTTTAGCGCCATTTTTAACCACCTGCCGTCACAATATAATTCTCTTTATTAAAAAAAAATCTTTCAAAAATAAAATATTCTTTTCTGAAACTTTATTTGAGGAACATTAGCTGATTTAAAGTTTAATCTGATTTTAAGCAAATATTACTTACTGAAATGTATTTTTAACATGTAACATAGTGGTAGCTATTTATTTTAGGTGTTGACAACTTCAATGAAAAACGGAATTTATCTAATGTTTTCTACGGTGGTCATCTCTAAAAAATTTGCTGGAAGAATATAACATGAACGCCTATTTTATATAATTTTTAAATACTCAGTAATCTTAAAAATTTAGGAAAATATTCTCCGTAATCTTATTTTTTTATTGAATTTTAGGTACTTTGGCTTTAAATTTACTAATATTTTCTAATAATGTCGTGTATGGACGTCCGTATTTACAAAACCGGCACGTTTGTACGCATACAAAAAAAAATTAAATTCTTTTTAAAATTTTGACTGTCGCTAAATTGTACAAAGCTTTTCCATTTACGATACGTAAATACAGTTTTTACTTAACAACATCACCTACCCGGTACAAAATATTTTAAAAGATTTTTAAAACTTTATAAGTTATTATAATTAATTTTTTTTTAAAAAATAATGAAAACAATTCTTGTAAAAATTCCTTATTCATAGAATTTTTTCTTAAGACAATAGTGTGCATAATATATCTTATTTATATAAGTAATTTTTTTTTCTAATTAAATAATGTCTTACTTTTATGGCATTTTCTATTTTATGATTCAAGGCGGATTTTCGGTAACAAGGAGTTTTGTTTTACAAAAGGAAATTGATGATTTAAATTCTACAAGAATTTCTTCTTATTTTAACTAATATAAACATTAAGCTCTACAAAATTTAATTTCTCGAAATTTCCTAAAATTAAGTGTGGTGGAGGTAACAGATGAAAGAAAAAATATTTTTTACCAAGACTTTCTATAAAAAAAAATAAAATAAAATTTGTTCATTTGTGAATAATTCCTGAAAGTTTCATTAAAATCCGCCGATTAATTAATTTTTGCAAGAATTTTCGAATCTGTTTTTTTTTATCGCAAAAAGACGCTAAAATTTTCTATGCTAATATTTGGCCACCGCGCTGACACACACAAAAAAAAATTAACCAAAATTTTGAACTTTCTAAAAACGATAAGAAAAAATTAATTTAATAATCAAAAAATCCTTCAGTGAAAATAACTTAATAACAACAAATATTAAATCTTAATAACAAAGTTGTTGACAGTAATGCATTGTTTTTATTGAGTTTAAGGTAGTTTTTTTGTATAGCATGCTATTTTTTTTTAAATTCAGTGAAGATACCTTTACTAAATTTAACGGAAATTCTAAATTCCACCAGATCCCCAAATTCTTCAAAATAAAACGCTTCTCTAAAAAAAAAAAAAAACGTGTATTGAAGCAACAACCTAGACAATTAAATATTTATTCAATGCTAACATTTTCTAAGTAGTAAAAATAAATTGTTTATAGTACAACACTTTCCTGAAATACCTCGTAACGCCCTGATGAAATTCAATCCAATGTTGATTTCCGCTCTGAATACAGATTATTCTATAAAAAGAAATTTA